TTAAAATGATACTACATTTTAAGATTGTCTTTTTTTTTTTTTTTTAATTCATTTTCTGCTTTCTCAGGGACTAGATCATCCTCCCTTCTGGATTCAAGGACCACTTTGTCAACAAATCTATTTTTTACACTCATGCCTCCTAGAGACCTCTGTGTGACTGTTCTTCAACATATTTGAAACTGAATTCATTATCTTTCTCCTCCAAATCTCTACTTCAGTATTTCTTAGTCAAAAGTACAAAAACTTTAAACCTGATTTTTTCACTTCAAAAGATAATCAGAAATTTGAAAGAAACTAGTAAAAGGATAAATATACAGTAATAAAAAAACCAATTTTAATCAGTACTGTTCTACTACAGATATTAAATATATGAAATCACAAATGAAAAGAGTATGCTTAAATGCTTTGAATTTTACAAATTCGAAGGTATACCAAAACATTTCTAAAGATAAATTTCAACAAAACTTGCTTGTAGTAACAATCCCAACAACTTTTAGTCTTTTTAAAGACTAAGTTCATGTGTTTTAAAAAGCCTTTTTAAAAGACACCTCATTTTAGCAAATTCTTACAGAATACAGAAGGACCTAGGCAAAAATAAACACATATACTTGGTTGCCTGATCTCTTAAAAGAGATGAACATTTTGTTTAGGTAGAAATTATTTAAAAAATGAGAAGATTTTATAATATCTATCTATCTATCTTGTAGATCCATACAACTCGTATCGATCCAGTTCCTACTGACTAGAAATAATATAAGTGCGTCCTGGGGGCCTTTATGCCTATCCCCAACCCCTTCACCAACTCCCCTCCTCCTTTTTGGAGGCTCAACATGAGAGAAACCTTCAGGAAAAAAGAACCATAAGGTTTTTTCTTTCTTTCTGTTTTCTTTAAAATTTTTTTTTGTTGTTAGAGTGGAAAGTTTCAAATGATATTGGGGGAAATAACTATAGGAAAAGACAAGTATCAGAGCAGATTAAAAAGGGCAAATTTTAAAAGATGGCAACTTAGAAAAGTAAGCATAAAAGCCTTAAATGTATTTTTCAAATAATAAAGTTTTATGTCCAGGAAAGGAAACTGTGTTCCTTGGGGGGAATTCTCTTGATCAAATTGTGTGTATCTGAAATTAATAGAAGACAGAAACAAAGTTAGGGCCTTTCAAAAACCATGTAGAGAACCCTTTTCACTGCTAGTAGTACTTACCTAGTCCTAGAAATTTAGCTTTGCTATTGCCTGCCTTGGAACTTGCCCTTATTCTGATAGGGGGAAGTCTTTCTTTCTTGATTTCTCATTAGTATTAGTAGTATTAGTAATTGTACCACTATTAGTGGTAGCAGTAGCAGCAGCAAACACTTAGAAATGCCAAGCTCAGTTCTGTTTTACCTGCATTAATTTATTTGATCTTCCCACCACATCACATTGTAGATGCTATTACTACCATTTAACATTTAAAGAAACTGCAGTACTGAGATATTCATTTACTTGCCCAAAGTCACATCGACATTAGACGTTATGACATTAGAGTTCATATTCCAAACAACTTCACTATATTACGTATCCTTCTCTTTTTAGATTATCCTAAATCATGGTAATTAATTTTAAATTTCCCCTTTTAAAACCAAGGGCGGGGCTCCTGAGTGGCTCAGTCGTTAAGCATCTGCCTTCGCTCAGGTCCTGATCCCAGGGTCCCGGGATCGAGCCCCACATCGGGTTCCCTGCTCCGCGGGAAGCCTGCTTTTCCCTCTCCCACTCCCCCGCTTGTGTTCCCTCTCTCACTGTGTCTCTGTCAAATAAATAAATAAAACCTTTAAAAAAAAAAAAAAAAAAAAAAAAAAAGGAAGATGGGGGAACCAAACAGCCACACCATCACCCAGGGGCAGCTATGTAAGCCGCATGTGTCATGAGGCACATCCGCCCTGAGGAGAATATGCCCAGTCCTTAAGCATATTTAAATGGAGATGGGGCTGAATAACTGGTATCCCCTTTATCTTTGCATTCTGCTCAGTCCCAATAAATGGGCTTATTTTCATTTCCTTAAGTGCCTAACATCAAGAGTGCTTCATTATCTTGAAGTAGGCGCATGGGCTAAGAGAGACTGAAACTGAAGTGAGGTCAACAATTGTTCCAACACTCCAGCACCCAGTCCATAGTGAAATACTGGCCCCCACTGATCACAGAAGAAAATATTGGGGGAGGAAAAAATTGGGGTAATATTGAAAGTGTTGAGTTTGTATTGCTAATGAGACATCCAGGAGGGAATGTTCAGTAGGCACTGGAGGAAACGGTCTGGGAATACGGTTTCAGAAGTACTGTACTGGCAAGAGATGAAAATTTCACTTTCTAATTGCCCAACAATTTATTAGTATTTAGCCACACAAAGGAAGAGGCTGACTACTCAGTGTACAATGTTCCTGCACCTGGGCAGTGCTAAAGAAAGTATAATAATTCTTAACTTTTTCTTTCATTACACTCTAAACAGATAACATTATTACATCAGAACTTTGTCATTATAATAAATTTGTTGCTAATCTTATAATAATTGCATTTAATGCTAGGATTTCAAAGGTGACAACCGTCTTAAGAGCTACACATAGCTATTTGAAACCATAGCTCAGGATGCATAATTTCAGTAAAACTTTCAAGGGTGTATGTTGACCTTTCTGACCAACTTTAATTCTAAGTAATTTTTCTCAGTGGTTTTGCCACTGCCTGATGCATTATAAAAATTCATTAAAAAATTAGTGAATATGAGAATAAAAAGATAACTTATTTGGTTCTCAAATTCCAGGCTTCTCCTAGCATTTACAACAGAATGTGCACATACATAAAATAGATTGAGAATGGAGAATTAAAATTAAAAAAAATAAAACCCTCTAAGGCAAATAATTTATGTAATTTTTAACTCAAAGACACAGCACTGGGAAAACTGGTAATTTAAAATTATATAGAATTGTAGATTATAGTAACATTTTAAGGAAAGTTTCCTATTTATTTTAACAATGAAAGACAGCAAGGGCAAATAGGTGTATTTACTTTCTGGTTGGCTCAAATTGGCTGACTGTCTGAAGTTGGTAGCGGGGTCTAAAGTTGGTATCGGGGTAATTCCTGCCTGTGATGGAAGAAGTTGCAAGAATTCCTCGCAGTTCTAAGATTTCAGGTCATGTAGCAGTTATTTCAAGGTAATTCTGTTACAAATATGCACTCTTACTTGCTAAGAGACATTTCTTATGTACATATTTTTGATAATGCCAATCACTATGAAATAATGTAGGGCTAAAGTGAACTATAGGTATAAGAGTTGAAAAAAAGGCTGAGGTGAAGTTAATGTTTTTAAACTGCAAAAATGTGAAGGTAAAAAGAAAAAAAAAAATCATTTCTTTTAGTCTGATTATTCAGGTACATACAGTATATATAGATCAAGCTATATCAAGCAGTATTTAATTTTTCATGTTCCTCAGATGGAAATGGATTAGTATTTATATTTAAAACTCTACTGCATTGTATATTTATAATCAAAAGTTAAATTCAGTTACTCATTTTGCTAAAAACATCTTTGTTATTTTAAATAAAGATCTATAAAGTGCTATGCAACCTGCAAAAGAAGTATCTAAGCAAGGCTTTTGCAGGATTCTTTTGATTAGCTTTAGTAAATAAATACTTTCATCATTATGTACTTGTAGTTCATATGCAGCATATGTAGCTTATGATGAGCTACAAAGTTAACAAAGTGTCCAAATAAACCATTAATTTTACATGTATTCTATTTGTCTTCTAAAAATAAATGTACCAGAAACAGGAAACCTGATTTGATAGTAAATATTAAATATCATATATTAATGAAATATCACTCTATTTATTGTTCATTATCAAGATTTAAGTATGTCAAATATACTATCTCAGACCCAGTTGGCAAAGGAGGTGGATAATAAATACTGTCCTAGCCAACTAATTTTCATGAAATACAATTAAGTGAGAAGTAAAGAGGCAGGTATTCCTATTTATATACACTCGTATAAAAAAGGAAGGATCTAAAAACTAGTCCCATGATAATCATCTTTCCTTTGGTATCACGGTCAGATATCCTCATTTTATGAAATAAACCTGTAGGAAAGTAAGGCTCAGAATGAATATATTTAGACATAAAAAATAAAATGTTATTCACAAAGGAAACTAAAGCCTGCTTTTCCGTCTTTGTTAGGAACAACATGAAACCCCTAAATAGTTGCAGTAGTTTCATTCAGAAGATCCCCCACTCCATACAGGCAACAGACTAGGAGAGCAAGGGTGCCTTATCCACGAGGGCTCAGTGAGTGACCTCCGACTGATAATTTCATGCAATTTCATCATCAGTACTAAAATATAACAACTCAAAGTATATTTCTTGTTGACAATGTGTCAAAAATACCATTACAAAAAGTACTACATTATATTATTTGTAAGTTTTTGTCATTCAAGACAAAAATGAAATAGCAAATCAGATGTCATATTATTATATATTTCGAAAAACACAAGAAAGCCACAAGATTGGTCATTTAGAAGAATACAGGTGTTTGTTTTTTTTTCTTTTAAGAAAATGATGACCAGGGTAGGCAAATTTCATGTGAACATAATGCTAGTATCTTTTCTTTTTCTTACACTTTCGGAATTTTTGGCTATATTCATTTCCTCTCTTGTTTTCTGTGCTACTATCGCTGTCACTGGTTTGTTTTTGCCTCTTTCGTTTATTTGTCTGATAAAGGTCAGGGTCACTGGGCTGTTGGTGAGTCCATTCGTAAGAGCTGGGTCCAGCCTCCAGATCTGGAGCACAATTTAGTGACAACGTTGCAGACGTGCTATTAGGAAGCGGTGCTGCCATCTCATAATAAGGCAGCTGCAGGGCTGGATTATAGGCATGCCACTGCTGGGGAAAAAAGACAATCATCTAGCAAAACAAGCCTGAAACGTTACAAGAAAAAGTTAACAGTCTACATGCATTATACAGCTAACCACGGGCAAACTCAACCACGTGTTAGGACAGTACCTTTCCAAAACAAGAATGTGGTAGTTCCTTTAAATTGTTAATGGGAAGATTCAAGGTAGTGTACAGCTTCCTACAACACAGATTCTGCCTTACAGAAATAGAATACAAGCCAGTTTTACATCTTCTAGTAGCCGCAATATAGAAAAAACAGGTGCCACTAATGATGTGTTTTATTTATCCCCCCAAATCCCAAATATTGTCATTTCAACATGTAAACAACATAAAAATTATTAACGAGTTACTTTACTTTCCTTTTTCCATACTAAGTCTTTGAAATTTGGTGTGCATTTTATACTTACAGCACATCTCAATTTGGATGCAACATTTTCACTGAAAATACTTGATCTGAATTTAGATTACCTAAAATTTACATTTGAAAAAGTAGATTCACATACCCAAGTTCTTGCAAATATTCTTAAAAATATTCTAATAACTGAACCAAGTATCTGCTTTTAAATTTTAATAAAATTTAAAATTAAATAAAACTAAAAACTCTGCTCCTTAGTCTCACATGTGGCTAATTGCCACAGTATGGGACAGCATGTTTGTCAACTATTAAGATAGACCCTTTCTTGTTTTTAACTCAAATTTCCAACTATTCAAAGTTGATTAAAGATTAATAGAGAAAACACAAACCTGTGTGTGTCTGTGTGTTTCTCATCTCTACCAAGGATAAAAATGCTGGGAAGAAGGATATTGACAGTTTTGGATGAGAACTGGTTGTTTCTTAATATCTCACTGTAACTAAGAAAAATTTTTTTCCAAAAGTTAAATGCTCCATTTTCTTTATGTTAACAAAATGAAAATGGCTATTTGAAAAATCTGAAGCTCACATATATGTTGGATGTTCACAACAATGTTCCACGTCTGTCACTAACAAGCTGCACTGTCTTGGGCCTATTGGTTAATACCCCTGGACCTCAATTTTATTATGTATAAAATGAGGAGTTGGAAGAAAAAAATTTCCTAAGTTCCCCTTTAACTTATTGTGACCATAATTATGATTTCTAGGCCAGAACCGTATTATTGAGAGTCTCTAGAAATAATGTAGTTTAACACTGAGAATCTAATTTAAATTAAAGTTTAAATGAGAACTCTCTGCTCAAATTGTACTAGGACCACAATGCAGCGTCACTACTATCTACCCATCTTGTGTTGACACACTTGCTAAAGTTCTAGGTGTGAGGTTGAAGATGACTTGGTTGTTGCAGCAGACTGCCATTGGGGAGACAGTGCTCAGGGCAGCTTCTGCCTTCACCCCAGGTTTAGATTTGAGAAACATAAGTTCCATCACAGTCTGTATAATATTACATATTGAACCAAAGGCATATCAAACTTACCATCTTCTGAAAGAAAAAATATTCTTGAGGTAAAGCTGCACTGTTAATTGGAAAGAACTGCATGGGAAAGGAAGATCTGGCCACAACTTCTTCATTTCTTTGGGGAGGTAAAAGAAAAATTAATAAAAAGTTAAAATCCCTATGCACAAATGTCCTTTTTTCTTAAAAAAAGAAGAAAAAGGCTCTTTGTTATTAAAAAACAAAGCTTCTCTAAGACAGCTCAGTTAAGATTAACTTTAAACATATACACACAAGTAATCAGATATTATACTGATAATATAGTGACATAGTAGTACCTTAAGTCTTACTAATTGCTACATAGCGAAATCTCAATATTTAGAGTCACATCTGGCCTTCTGACAGGAAAATGTTAAACAGTGTTATATGTGTATAAAGAACTAGATACTTAGGTATGAAGAGAGCAAAGCAAGTCGTTGGTAATCACCAAGGGTACATTCAATCTTCTACAGATATAAAAAGTGAAAGAAATATAGAAATTTTCCTCAGTTTATTGTTGAAGATATCTTTACTGTTTAACTATAAAAATTATGCTCTTTCCTAAATGGACTGCTAATGTTTATCCACGTTTGTGTATTTCTTTCACCCATGAATTAAGATAATAAAAATTCCTCATTTAAAAACTGTGGTGAGCTAAAGTTTCATTTATAAGTGTTGTAATATTTGCTTCTATGAAGATACTTAATAAATTCCAGTTACAATTACTAGTTAGATTCTCTAGCTAGCCCTCACTTGTCTACTTGCTCCACAGCATTCCACAATTTTAATGCTAATACTACTAATCCTTAGGAAAGGAGGTGTGCTGTGGGAAAGGCGGAGGCAAAGATGAGGGCAGGGGAATGACAGGAAGAGTCAGATGGATACGCGGACATCCCATTGATAAGTGGTGAGACTGGTATCGCAAAAACCAGTGGAGGAGTAAATTTCACTAAGGAAGGAATTAGGTGTCAGTTGTTATGAAAGAATACACTGAATTAGCATTGAAGCTATTGTTCAGAAGGTTCCTGATAACCCCTGAATGAGCACCTTCCATATAACAATGGGCTTAAGAAGCATGTAGGAAGTAAGGATGTGAAAGATGAAAGATTTTTCAGGGAGAAGAAGGGGCAAAATATAACAGCCTCATTTGGGGACAAGGTTGGAGGAGACCAGAACGTGTGTATAGAGTAAGTGATAGTAAAGAAACAAACAAAAAGTGCAATGAAATTAGAGTGGGGAACAGAGTGGGGAAGATACAACCTCAGTAGCAGAAGTGCCGAGACTAGCACCATTATGAAAACAGATGCAGATTCTCCAAAACCACCGTCTTTCCTAGGTGAATCTCAGGGCATGCATCGTTGTCTACAGAGATGAATCACATGTAAATTGGGAAGAGTTAGGAGCTAAACTGTATCACTCCAAAATTTCTATGTTGAAGTCCTAACCCCCAATACCTCAGAATGTGACCTTATTTGGAACCAGGGTTGTTGCAGATGTAATTGGTTAAGACGAGGTCATACTGGAGTAGGATGAGCCACTAATCCAACAGGACTGTTTTATAAAAAGGGGAAATTTAAAGACAGGCATACACAGGAGAACATCATATGAAGATCTGGGTGATGTATCTACAAGCCAAGGCATATCAAGGACTGCCAAATAACCAGAAGACACTATGGGATAGACACAGAACATTCTTTCTCAGAGCCCTCAGAAGGAACTAATTCTGTGGACACTTTGATCTTGGACTTCTAGCCTCCAGAACTATGAGACAACACATTTCTGTTGTTTAAGCACCTCTTTGTGGTTATTTGTTATGGCAGCCCCAGCAAACTAATACGGGAACTGTTGACTGAAAACAGAAGGCATAAGAGGCAACAGAAGCATAAAAAATCCTTTTCAAAGAAAGACCCATGAAAGACTAAGGATACAACATGCACACCATTTTTCTCTGCACAAGTATTACTTCTAGGACACTATATCCTATTCTCATTCTTCCTTTATAATGTAACAAATACTAGAAAATAAGGGACTACCAATGAAGTGTACTGTTATGGAATATACATATAATTCTGATTTTCTACTCTAGAATTTGTGATGATTTAATTTGTCAAACATAAACATAGAATACAAGAGTTCTGGTATCTCATAGTGCTTGTCTTTCTACCTCTGCCCAAATAGCAATAGCTTGTTTCTTCCTAATTCCTGAGAAATATGAGGTATGTTTTCGCACTAGTAGAAAGAGAGGAAGCTCTCATATTATATAAATGGCTCAATTCATGAGTCTATAGTACGTCCCCTACCAACATAGTAAATCACTCCCCCCTTTCTGGTAACATTGGCTGAAAGTATTTACTGAATACCTGCTATGTGTCCAGTATATTAAATGCATTGAATGTATTACAATATTTGATTCTCACAACAATCTTCGAGGTATGATCCTTGTTTTAGAACAGGTTAGAGTGTGGTGAAATAACCTGTCCAAGGTCATACCATTAATAAAGTGGCAGAAGCAAGATTTAAGTTCACGTAATTTGATGTCAGCACCTACTTTGTTTTTTTTTACGATTTTCTTTCTTTTTCTTTTATTTGAGAAAGAGCGAGAGAGAGCACGAGCAGGGGAGAGGCAGAGGCAGACTCCCTGTGGAGCAGGGAGCCCGATGCGGGACTCGATCTCAGGACCCTGAGATCATGACCTGAGCTGAAGGCAGATCTTAACTGACTGAGCCCCCAGGTGCCCCTGAACACCTACTTTTTCACTTCTCCTGATTTCCCTGATACAGAAATACTGGGAAGAATGAAGATGTGGAACACACTGTGTTTTATTTGGGAGGCAGTACTTCTCCTATAGATAAGCCTGTGTGATTGCCAGTCCTCAGAGGCATTCGCTTATGCCTCAGAGGAGTTTCAGTTACTGTTAGTTTACATGAGAATATTCAGTTCTGCTGCAGAAGACAAAAACAAACAAGATGGATGAAATGCTTGTAACAGACTCTAAGTAAGCTAGTAGTTTATAGGACAGTGAGGAAACCGTGTTAGGGACAGAATAAGCAAATCACTTGGGAGATACAGGCAGAAGTTATAATGTATGTTCAATAGAGATAGTAAATAAGTTAGTATCCTGTCAGACATGCTACAGATAGATTCAATCGATAATATGTGGAATAAGTAAGAGTGTCACTTGTACCCGATACGTGTGCCAAACTATCCAGGATCTTTCCTGCTGCTTTTCACTGTGTCTTCTAAATTGGTTTAATAAATGGTGTGATTTGAACATCTTAATTCAGTTTCAGAGCCTTTCTGTTCCATGACCTCTAGGATAGCTTGCCTGACAGTGTCCTTAGAGGCTACCATTGCATCAAGAAATCAGCCAATACAAAATTTTAGAATATTTGGAAAATTATCATAAAGAAGTTTTAAAGAGTAGTACAATAAATAACAGAATGGCTTAATGTCAGAAGGCTTAATTTCAAGCCTCGCAACTATCACTTTTTCATCTTTATGACCCTGAAAATTAGTTACCTTTTACATCTCTGTTTATTCAAGTATAAGATATGGATAATAGCATCTCTATGATCCATCACAATGACACCTTGGAAGCTTAAGTGATTTAACATCTATGAAATGCCCACAAGGTAAACTATAAAGAACACTAGAAATATGAATCTTTCTCACCTGCTACTGAAAATATTAAAACTGAACTTTAAATCAAAATATTTTGCCACTGTTCATCGTTTTAGAAAAAAGTGAATTGCTTAAATTTTATCCCATGTCTAAATAGTAAGGTTTTACAATAGTTCAGAATATATAAAAACTATTTCTTGTACAAGAACATATTTGTTTTTTTGAAAAAATATTTTTAATTACCTGTAGCTGTGTGAATTTATCTTAACACAGCTCTCAAAACTTTGGTTAGCTGGTTCAGAAGAGCGAGAGCTCCCTATAGAAGAAAAATAATTAACAGATTACTTAATGGTACAATTTTTTGGAGTTCTATTGTTAAACCATAGAAAAACTCCAAACCTAAAAGGATGTAGCATTGGTCAAAACTCCTTAATCATATAAGGTACATGAGTATATCTTCGATCTCCCAAGTGATATTTACAGATTGTTTACATTACGACAAATGACTGAATTATAACCAAGCTTTGTCCAAAGCCATGGCTGTACAGAAGAATGATATTGACATGGGGCCATAAGATAGATGATGTTGTATTATTCTACACGCCAATAGACTAATAATGGCAAAAATTAGTGTTATCTGCCTCCTGTGGAGAATGCAGAAGTTCTCTAAACTGCATTGGCAAAAGTGGATGCAACGTTACAGAGGATGCTAAGCAGCTGGCTGGGACGTGTCAGAACATAGTGCATCCCGGCCCACTTTACCAGTCTGTGTGAATTAACCAAACAGTACTTGAAAGCAATGATACAGCCAATTACCTTTGCAAAATCATTAAAAATATAAATAAAAGAAAGAAACACAAGGAGAAACCTTTTTCCTTTGCAATGAGGTACTGTTTTCTTACTATCTGTTTTTAGTATAATAAGAGGAAAAAAATAAACAAGCAAGGGATACGTCAATAGGCTCGCATCACTTAGGGTAGGGAGGCAACATAAGCATCGCAAGCACCGCACCATAAGCATCGCCTCTATCAGTCCCTCAAACCATGAAAGAGGTAGCGTATACTAGTACAGTGTTCTCCGGTATCTAATCAGTTTTTGACAGGTGTGTAGGAGAAGACATTTGAGGTCACTGGTGTCCGGAAGCTCTCCTCCATAGTGACTGAGGGTCACTCTGCATCCGCTTTTGGCCAGCTACTTTTGCAGGGGCTTAGATCCAGGGCAATAATGTAGAGTATGGTGTTCACAAGAGAAAGACTAAGGCACCCACTCTACCTTCCAAACAGTAGGTATTTGATACCACACACTAGCATTGACAAGAGTGGCAAATGGCCTTGATGTATTAAAGGCTAGAGCTGTGTGTCCCCAATTCATTTAGATTTGCTTAATTTAAAACAGCCAAGAGCAACTATCATAGCTACTTGCTGGCTGGTACTAAGATAGAACATTTTAAACTTTAATATAGAATAGATGCTATAGGATTGGCAATACTAATTAATCATATAACACTATGAATGTCTACATGTATTCTGAGAAAATTTAACAGAGACAAAAGGAACACTTTTTTGGTCTTACATTATATAGAAAACACAATGTTCACACCTCTGAGAACAACACCATCAACAAAACACACTTGGAAGATTCTTCAGTGGCAAGACCTACCAAATCGATACTGTACATTAATTGGTCTTCCATATAAACGTATTCCATTCAGCAAAGCTATGGCATAAGACACCGATTCAGGGTGTTTAAAGCAGACAAATCCAAAAGTCTTCGGCTTTCCTTCTCTGTCTTTGCATATAGTCACTTTGGTTAATGGCCCAGCCTATAAAAAACTTAAAAATTATTTTCTCATAAATCTAAAGATTTTTTTTTACACTCAGATAAATCAAGTATATTCAACTTCAGACTTCAAAATAAATCTGTTAGCAATAATTGCTTTATGTAGCTCTGCGAATGATGCATTTTCCTAACAGTAAATATCATATTTCATCACACTTTCTAGTATTTTTTGGCTCATCAAGAAAACATTCATGGTGTTAAGAACAGAAAATTTTAGGTAATAGTTCCAAATCTTAAAAGAAAAGATATGTTACCCTCTGTTAGGTTTAACAAAACAATTTGGAGAGCACTTAAATCTAAGAGTAAAATACTATTTTATCTCCATATGTATTAACTGTGTATAACTCAAAAACAAATTGAAATGACAAACCTAATGTTGGTTTGAGTGAGCCTAAAAAACTGTTGTATTGTAGCACGGCCTAATTTTTTTTGTCAGAGTTAAACATTTTGACAAGAGAAACTAATTTATCATGTGTTTTGATCTAATAATCCCATTTGGTAAATACCCCCAAAGGAAAAAATGTTTTAGTATGTTTACGACTTTAAAGTAGGTACGTTGTTTATATGAGTGAAAAATTAGAAAGGTTCTAATTCCCACAATGGGAGAATATTATTCCATCATGCATTAAAAAAATGGAATAAAACAAAATAAATTGAAAATATTCAGACTGTATTGGTAGTAAAACCTATAATTAGCAAGAGAGTAAAAAAGCAGAGTGAAATATTATAAAAAGGTATTAATTACAACTAAAAAAATTACATGTCCCCCATGATAATGATTACAGGAGGCACCCACAAAGACTTATAAACAACTAAGATTTAATGGTAAATGGCTCATACTTCTTATTTTTATTTATTTTTTTAGATTTTATTTATTTATTTTTGAGAGACAGAGAGAGAGCATGAGCGAGGTGAGGGGCAGAGGGAGAAGCAGACTCCCTGCTGAGCAGGGAGCCCGATGTGTGGGATTCGATCCTGGGGCTCCGGGTTCATGACCTGAGCTGAAGGCAGATGCTTAACTGACTGAGCCACCCAGGCCCTGGCTCATACTTTTTAATTGTACTTTAATGATTGATTACTTTTCTCTGTCGAGTTGGATAAAGAAATCGCTTTTATTCTAAAGAAAAATGTTAACTATCATCTTTAAAATGATACTACATTTTAAGATTGTCTTTTTTTTTTTTTTTTAATTCATTTTCTGCTTTCTCAGGGACTAGATCATCCTCCCTTCTGGATTCAAGGACCACTTTGTCAACAAATCTATTTTTTACACTCATGCCTCCTAGAGACCTCTGTGTGACTGTTCTTCAACATATTTGAAACTGAATTCATTATCTTTCTCCTCCAAATCTCTACTTCAGTATTTCTTAGTCAAAAGTACAAAAACTTTAAACCTGATTTTTTCACTTCAAAAGATAATCAGAAATTTGAAAGAAACTAGTAAAAGGATAAATATACAGTAATAAAAAAGCCAATTTTAATCAGTACTGTTCTACTACAGATATTAAATATATGAAATCACAAATGAAAAGAGTATGCTTAAATGCTTTGAATTTTACAAATTCGAAGGTATACCAAAACATTTCTAAAGATAAATTTCAACAAAACTTGCTTGTAGTAACAATCCCAACAACTTTTAGTCTTTTTAAAGACTAAGTTCATGTGTTTTAAAAAGCCTTTTTAAAAGACACCTCATTTTAGCAAATTCTTACAGAATACAGAAGGACCTAGGCAAAAATAAACACATATACTTGGTTGCCTGATCTCTTAAAAGAGATGAACATTTTGTTTAGGTAGAAATTATTTAAAAAATGAGAAGATTTTATAATATCTATCTATCTATCTTGTAGATCCATACAACTCGTATCGATCCAGTTCCTACTGACTAGAAATAATATAAGTGCGTCCTGGGGGCCTTTATGCCTATCCCCAACCCCTTCACCAACTCCCCTCCTCCTTTTTGGAGGCTCAACATGAGAGAAACCTTCAGGAAAAAAGAACCATAAGGTTTTTTCTTTCTTTCTGTTTTCTTTAAAATTTTTTTTTGTTGTTAGAGTGGAAAGTTTCAAATGATATTGGGGGAAATAACTATAGGAAAAGACAAGTATCAGAGCAGATTAAAAAGGGCAAATTTTAAAAGATGGCAACTTAGAAAAGTAAGCATAAAAGCCTTAAATGTATTTTTCAAATAATAAAGTTTTATGTCCAGGAAAGGAAACTGTGTTCCTTGGGGGGAATTCTCTTGATCAAATTGTGTGTATCTGAAATTAATAGAAGACAGAAACAAAGTTAGGGCCTTTCAAAAACCATGTAGAGAACCCTTTTCACTGCTAGTAGTACTTACCTAGTCCTAGAAATTTAGCTTTGCTATTGCCTGCCTTGGAACTTGCCCTTATTCTGATAGGGGGAAGTCTTTCTTTCTTGATTTCTCATTAGTATTAGTAGTATTAGTAATTGTACCACTATTAGTGGTAGCAGTAGCAGCAGCAAACACTTAGAAATGCCAAGCTCAGTTCTGTTTTACCTGCATTAATTTATTTGATCTTCCCACCACATCACATTGTAGATGCTATTACTACCATTTAACATTTAAAGAAACTGCAGTACTGAGATATTCATTTACTTGCCCAAAGTCACATCGACATTAGACGTTATGACATTAGAGTTCATATTCCAAACAACTTCACTATATTACGTATCCTTCTCTTTTTAGATTATCCTAAATCATGGTAATTAATTTTAAATTTCCCCTTTTAAAACCAAGGGCGGGGCTCCTGAGTGGCTCAGTCGTTAAGCATCTGCCTTCGCTCAGGTCCTGATCCCAGGGTCCCGGGATCGAGCCCCACATCGGGTTCCCTGCTCCGCGGGAAGCCTGCTTTTCCCTCTCCCACTCCCCCGCTTGTGTTCCCTCTCTCACTGTGTCTCTGTCAAATAAATAAATAAAATCTTAAAAAAAAAAAAAAAAAGACCAAGGGTTATCTCTTAAATTTGTATGTTCAGCATCTTACTTCGTATTTGTCATGTAATGGCTAGATGAATGGCTGGAAGAGTAGATCTCTTTAGAAGTGACATCTACATGTATACAATAGGTGAGTGTTTACAGGGGACAGAAGACTAACTCATGGAGGCCCTAAATCTCGAAAAGTTTCCAAAAGGTCCTCCTGGTATGAAATACAGGGAACTGCCCAGGGAATCAATTGGTCATAGTCATGATTTGACTGTACGAATCATTAAATCTTACTTACCATACTGGAGTAAAAACACCCTCCCTATCAAAGGGTTTGGAGGAATAAGTAATGTATACGGTAACATTTTAAAATCTATACCAATGCTGGATGTAAGGCGTGAGGGCGCTTATTACCTCAAGGAAGGTAGTGACAGGGCTTTCTGTTTTGCCCTAGACACCCAAGGCCCAGGCCGTCTCCGCGAAGCCCCTACTCAGGGCCGGGGGCTGGGGGGAGCCAAGTCACTCCCACCCCTAGGGCTCTATAGTGGGGATGGGGATGGGGCGCATATTATATCACTTCACTACCAGCTGCTCACCTAGAGGCAGGTATGCCAAAACGGAACTAAATTATAAACCTAGGTACAAGACGCGGCGGGAAGGGGGCCGGGCTCCGGGTGGCCCAGGTGCGCCCGCCCCTCGGGCTGCGCTTCCGGCTCGACGCTCCCCGCCCGTCCGCCGCCCCCCGCCGACGATACCTGAAGGAACAGCTCGTAAAGAATCTCTTCCCGTACTCGGGCCTCTAAATTCCCCACAAACACCGTTCTGTCGGCCTCCTCCTGAGCAGGGAACATCCCTCCGGTCTCGGTCCGAGGATGCAGGAGGTCTCCAAGCCCCGCCCCCTCTCGTCTCTTTTCCGCGCCGCTTGGACTAGGGGAACGGGGCCGGCGGCGACGGGAGCGCGCGCGCCAGGGGCGGGGCGAGGCTGCGGGGCCACGCCCCACAGAGGCTTGCGGGGACCGCCCACTGCGCCGCCACGCTGCTCCGGATCCCGCCGGGATCCTAAGAGAGTAAGTGAGAATAGAAAGGATTACGGCACTCGGGGCTTTGCCCTCTCGTTCGTGGAGTGCCTTCCATTTTCCTAGGTACAGCATTATTAATTGACTTTGGATTTATTCAATCAACATTTTCAATAAAAGAGATGTTTTAAGACATACTACCTGCAGTACTGGAGCTGCCAGGTTAATGGGGGAAGATTTGTTTCCAAAGAGTGAATGAATAAATCATTAGGAGTTTGAATTTATATTCTGAATAAAATAGTTTTTTGAAAGAATAAATCCATGCATGCGTGGATGTGAAATACGATAGAGTCCTAGAACTAAAGTTTATTTACCTAGGAAGCGCGCCCTAGAGAAGTCTTTGAAAATGGGTACAGAGGTTTTTTAGGTGGACTCCAGAAGGCATTTGAAAATTTGAGAAAACGGCCTCTACCGAGGAACACTACAAAAAGGATAGCAAGTTTTGTGACTGAAGCCAGAATTTTTGAGGATGGCTGCAGGGCGCTTGTAGCGGGATCCAATGTTTGTACTTTGTATCAGGACTGTACTTTGTATACAGTGACCAGGGTGAATAATTAATTTTTACTTGAGGAGGGTTAGGGGAAAAAAATCGTACAAAAAATAAAGGTAAGTAAAAGAAAGGGAGAAGAAAACCCACTCAGAATCTCAGTGGATGGATAAATCAACTGTCAACTATTAACTTGGCTTCCTTTTTGAAGAATCCATATGTCTATGAAAGACCCTGAAATTATCCCGTAAATATACAAGTAATCAAGACGTCATTTGGCTATTAGTTAGGAGTGGTGATAATTTAGGTTCTATTTCTTAAGGAATGGATTGGGCTAATGTAAATTACAGTACTTCATTTCGGTATTTTTTTTTTTAATGTTTTATTTATTTATTCATGAAAGTCAGAGAGAGAGAGAGGCAGAGGCAGAGGGAGAAGCAGGCTCCCCACCCAGCAGGGAGCCCCATGAGGGACTCGATCCAGGACCCTGGGATCATGACCTGAGCCGAAGGCAGACGCTCAACCATCTGAGCCACCCAGGCGCCCCCATTTCGGTATTTTTTGAATGCTTGCTATGTACCAGGCACTGTCTTTAATCCCTGGGAAACAAAGGTTAAGTATAAAGATCTGTCCTAAAGCTTTCAGCATAATGAGACAGACTTCCCATACAAATAAATACAAAATCATGTGTCAGTAACTTTAGTAGTCACCTTCTGTTGATATCATAAGTATATAAGTCCTGTCTCCATTTTTCCTTTCTTTCGTGTGTCATCAACATTGTGGTAGGGTAAGAGGGGATTAAGGAAACTAACATTGTAGTTATATAACAAATATATGTTGATCAAATGAATGGATACCTGAAGGTCTCAATTATGTGTCATACTACTGATTTTTTAAATTCATTTATCTCATAAATCTTATCCAAATGAACATATTTCCTCTTTAACTTCCCCTCAGTCAGAGCTAATCTGGGAGTTGGATCTTCAGGTTTCACTGTAAAATTTGTAGTGCACGGGCACCTCGGTGGCTCAGTCGTTAAGCGTCTGCCTTCAACTCAGGTCATGATCCCAGGATCCTGGGATCGAGTCCCACATCGGGCTCCCTGCTCGGCGGGAAGCCTGCTTCTCCCTCTCCCACTCCCCCTGCTTGTGTTCCTGCTCTCGCTATCTCTCTCTCTGTCAAATAAATAAAATCTTTAAAAAAAAAAAAATTTGTAGTGCACATATCTGGTTGTGAATCATATAAACCTTTAGCTGTATTTATAAATAATTAACAATCATGTTGTCTTGCTATATTGAAGCTTGCATCATACTTTTTTTTTTTTTACAAATGTGTATGATTTTGGTGTTCTTATCACATCCTCTTTTATAGTTTTTTTTTTTTCATCTAGAGTACTTTTTAATGTTATGAGCTCTGAAAGTCAGCTCATGCAGTTAGCTGTTTATTCAGAATTTGACCTAAATATATATCATTTTTCTAATTTAAGCTTACTGTATTTCCTAACATATTGAATGAACACATTGTAATAAAACTAGCAGTAGTTAAAAAATAATTTATTCTCGGGGCGCCTGGGTGGCTTAGATGGTTAAGGGTCTGTCTTCGGCTCAGGTCATGATCCCAGGGGCCTGGGATCAAGTCCCGCATCGGGCTCCCTGCTCAGCAGGGATCCTGTTTCCCCCTCTGCCTGCCACTCTCCCTGCTTGTGCTCTCTCTCTAATAAATAAATAAAATCTTTAAAAAAAAATTTTTATTCTCAGCATTTCCTGGACCATTACTCAAAAATAAGATTTAATGGGTTAAATGCATGCAACACAGTAAAGAATTAGCCTTTCTTGACTCATATCAGGACATTTTACACCCCTAACTTTATGTATTCAAAAATGAAAATGTTTATATATATATATGTAAAACTATAATCCATGTATATAAATCTGTCATCTATCTATCTATCATCTATCTATCATCTAAAACTAGAGGTTCTTTCTCCCTTTCTTTGCCCAGTTGACTCTTACTCTCTTTTGTAGTTCAGCCTAGGCAGCATCTCCTACAAGGCTTCCCTGAACTCTGCACTCTAGATTAGCTGGCTGCCCTGCTGTGTGGTTCCACGGTTCCATAGATACACCTTTTTCAAGACCTCCTCACTGTGAATTGCAATAGGGTAAATATTATTTCGGTACCTAGGACAAACCCTGACATATCTGTGGATGTATCATAAATAGTTGTTGACATAATACAGTTTGAATGAATGAATGAATGTACTTTGTATGTCCAACTATATTATGCCTGGAAATCAGTACACGCTTAATCAACCATGAACGGATGAGTGAATGGAGGAACTTGATAAATTAGTGTAAAGGGACTCTAGTGGATGCTTTTTCTAAAATTGACCTCACTTTGTCTTCCATTTTTTCCTACCCTCATTTTTTTCTCTATTCTGATTTTCCTAACCATATTTGTCCCAAGTAAATACAGCTTTTTTTGTTTGTTTTACTTGTATTATATGATTATTGTAGAGAAATATTTTTAATGTTTAAAGAAATAAATAAAGTAAAAAAAACATCAATAAGTCTGCCATGCAGAGGTAAACATTTTGGAGGAAAACCTTCCTAACTTTGATCTATACATATATATGTAAAAGATATTTTAGGAAAATAAATTTTACTATACATATTATTTTTTAGCTTGCCTTTTCTCCCCTTGAACTACATAATGGAGACTTTCTATATCAATTAATAATGATTTATCTACATCATTTATTTTAATCCACAGTATGTACATAATTAGACTAATCCCCCACTGTTAGACATTTACATTGTTTCCATTTTTTAGCCATTATAAAAATGCTGAGATTAAATCCTTGCTCATATGTCTTTGTGCACATATGTTAGTATTTCTGTGGGAAAATATCTTGGATGTTTGCTGAATCCAAGGGTAAGACCATTAAACATTCTGACACATATTGCTAAATTATACAAAAAGATTGTGCCAAAATATGTTCTGATAAACAATGACTCCCCCATCTAAGTATACAATACTCAACTACCTATTATAATCACCTGTAAAGTCCCTAGAAGCATACATGGTACATAGAGCTCAATCAAATTTATATCTTCATCCTTATCATCCTCATTATCACCCTTATTGTATTATTTATATTGTATAGATGTCTGTAAGCTTAAAATCATTTTTTATTTCGAAGGAGGACTAAATAAGCACGGAAATATTCTCTTACTAAACTATAGATATTTTGGGACGCCTGGGTGACTCAGTCGATTAAGCATCTGCCTTCAGCTTAAGTCATGATCCCAGGGTCCTGGGATCGAGTTCCACATCAGGCTCCTTGCTCAGCAGGGAGCCTGCTCCTCCCTCTGCCTACTGACCCCCCACCCCCCGCTTGTGCTCTCTCTCTTTCTCTCTCTGACAAATAAATAAAATCTT